GGTCTTCCTCAAACAATTATAAATAAATTCTCCTTTTCTCATACTTATTATTTCATTGTTTTGCTCTTAGCTAAAGAAGGCAAGCATGGTGTTAGATACCAGTAACCCCAGCACTCAGCAGACTGCAGCAGGAAGATTGCTGAGAGTTCAAAGTCAACTTGGGTTACAAAATGAATTCAAGACCAACCTGAGATGGACATTAAAATTGTATCAAAACATGCATGCATACATATATGGGAAAAACATGCATGCATACATATATGGGGAAAAAGTGGTTACATCAGAAACTCTAGAACATAGTGCATATACCAGCCCCACTGTATGACCTTGGATAAGTTATCTGACCTCCTGAGCCTGTTTCTACATCCATAATGAGGATAATGATGGTTAATGCATCACCACATTATTGAGAAAATTAAATGTATTAATTTAGTTTCCCAAAAGTGCCTGGTGTGTGATACACCAGCTATTACCATCACATCTGCTTGGGATTTAACTGCTTTTAAAGGTGTGGTGACCAGAAATAGCACCAGTGTAACCCCACTAGTCTCTCTACCTGACCCTACACCAGTTTCCTCACCGACCTGAGATGTCAGTTTCACCATATGATCATCTTCCCGTACAAGCTACATCTAAGAGCTTCTGATTTTTCCTCCTCCGTGTGCACATCTCAATTGCCATCAGCCTGGCACACTGCCACATAAACAACAACCAGCTACCCAGGCCTGTCTGCTCATGTTCCCATCCGTTCAAGGTGGCCCAGAGAAATGAAACATTAAAAAGGCTTGAAGGTTTGAATCTTACCTTCTTGCAAAATAAATCTACTACTAGGCAGCAGCCGATAAAAGGGTATGACAGCCTTGCAGCATACAAAAAAGGACTGAAGTTAAGACGGCAGGGTTCACTCCAAAAGCTCTGGATGGAAATTCATATCTGGGACAAGATAACACAACCCTAAACAGGTAGACCTTGTCATCTAAAGCAGGGCACACTGGCGACAGCTTCTGAGACATTTGGGTACAGTTAACAACAGGCTTGGATAGATGATATAGAGGCATGAGAAGGGCTGAGATGCAATGTAGAAGCATGGTAACTTTCGAACTAGGGATATGAAGTCCATAGCTTTCAAAGACATGGACACCAAAACTCACTATATAGAGTACAGCACACTGTTGCTGGAACCGAAGGCAAACGTAAGCAAATTCCCTAGCCTCCCTTGCTTTCAGTGACTTCCTTTAGACCCCTCCCCACCAGAGACCCTCTAGCCTGCCATGTGTGGGGGGGTATGGCCCAAGATGGCTGCGCATGCTTCCCTTTCCACTTGACTTTAGAAATTACTAATTTTGGAGGCTGTGCAGCTGGGTAACATATTAGAAGTCTGTTTCTATCTTTGCTGCAGATAACCCCGGTGCTGTGCAGGCTGTGACCAACGCTGTGTTGGTGGCTTCAAAGACAACTCAGCCTCACACCCTCCATGTTGTATCCAACCATCTTTCTACTTTGTGTGGGCACTTAAGAACTGTTTGTCTGAACTGAGGAGCACAAGGTTAATGGCTTAGCAAAATCTCCTAGGCTTTCCCCTCCCACTTCAAGTCTGAAGAGATCAAGATAAGATATTTTCACTATCTACTAGAGCATCCAGTGGCCTTGTGATTACGTGCCAGGTGAACGGATCACCGGCCAGCAGATTTCTGACAACCCACTCCAGACTACTAGAGCGATGCATAGAGGCCTACAGGGATCTGTTATTTCCTAACCTAAAGCCCTCTCCCAGGCCCTCTCTGCCTGAATATAAAAGGGCCCTGAAAAACCTGTGCTGGGTTAAGACGGTTTACTCTTAGGGTCCTTGGAGAAATCCCTTAAAAGACTACCATCCATGTATGCAATCAGCAAGGACGTTTATTATTCCATCATGCTGGGGCCTGTCATCTATACAAAGGCAAGATGGCGGAAACCCTGAGACGAGGTGAGCTTAAGCACAGTCAAGGGGAGGTCCTAGGGCAGTTAGGTCACTTTAAATATGATTAGCTCAAGCAAGTGGCAATCATATTAGTGTGTTCTAATGGGCTAGAGCTAGTCAGGGGCTGATTAGGGCTATAGTTTTCCATTTGGGGGCAGGCCTGGACAAGTCCCAGACTTTGTCCTTATTTGGTTTTCATCTTGAGCTGTTTATGGCTTGGGCCACCAGATCTCCTCCTTGCTGTTGAGGGTGCTGGAGACTGATTGTCCTTTGTTCGTGGCTCTTCCTCAGAAACTGCTTATTCAGGCTCAGGAAACTGAAATTGAGGCCTGGTCTCTGAGAGAAGATCAAGCAGACTGTTATGGCATCTGCTTGGTTCTCTCATTCCCCTGCCTTCTTGAGTAGTCTATCATCTCAAATCCTTGAAATTGGTTTGATTTACAGGCTTATATTGTTGTATTTCCGATTGTCTATCACGAAGCCTCTTTATAAGCCGGGCTATGATAATCCGGTCCCTGATAATTCCAGAATGGCTAGCATAGAGGCATAGGCCTCTTTTATTCTGAAGTACTATTTCAACTAGAGAGGAGAGCAATGTTTTTTAAATGTGCAACAGTTTATTTTTGGTAGGGCAGCAACTTTGCATCTATTGCTGTTCTCAAGGCCCTATAGTTCTGATTCTGTAATGACAAGGCGGAAGTTCCAATTCCTTTGGTTCCAGCTAAGCTGACATCTAGGAGGGTGGACCCACAGATAGCTGTGTTGACTTCATGTTCCCCATCCTAGTGACTTTTTTCGTGGGTAAAAGATTGTATTATCAGGGTAGTAGACTATTCTGGGGACTAACTGAACCAGGATATAAGAGTCTTTGGTTTGGTCTAAAACCTGAACATTAACATAGGGTGTCAAGCCAGTGGCACATGCCCATCAGATGTCATCCGATGGGATCACGAAGCTGGCTTCCACTGGATTCTGAGTGAGATTGCAGAGGTGGACATAGCCATGTGGGGATTGTTCCAAATAGAGACTATTTCCCATTATTTTCCCATTATTAACAGCAAAGTGTTTCCCCTTATCCAGTTGCTGTCATCTGCAAGTGTTTGGTCCAGGGGCTGATATTGGGGTTTTAGCATCATCACCTTAATGGTACCCAGACAGGAATTATCATCATTTAGTTAAGGCTTCAGTGATATGAAAGCCAACAGCAATTAGCAGAAGCAGAAGGGTCAAAAGCCGTGTGATGGCTGAGAATTCCTTATCTAGAAGGAACTTGGAATGAGAATGGGGACTAGTTAGTATTCTATCTTAGGTTCCCGAAGATAAGAAATTCCCTTTTGATCTAATATTTTGGGACAGGAATGGGGGGGAGAACCAAGGAGCAATGTGCTGCTCGATCTTCTCGTGTACCAGGCCACCTTCTGGTTTTGCTAGTTTACCAAATAAATCTACTTGTCTCCACATACACTCTCTCTCAAATATTAGGGTCCCTTTCCAAGTGGGAAGTAAGTGAACTTGGATTCTACACCGGGGCCAGCAAGAACCTGCCAAGAATGAATACCCCCAAGAGTGGAGGCTAGAAATATAATAGGGCTAACAAGGCTTATCAGGTAAAGGCGCTTACCAACCAGCCCCACAATCTGAATTCAATTCAGGGTCCTAAGTGGTACAAGGAGAAAACTGAGTCCCACACGTAATCGGCTCATCTTCCAAAGTGCACCTGGGGTTTAAGTGTGTGAGCACAAACATCTCCAGGAGGCCTCATTCATAGGACAAGCAAACCTTGTCCTATTCATAGGATCCTGCAAACCGAGGAGAAAGCCCAGCAAGCCTTCGAAATAACTAGAAACTGGGAAGGATTCTGGCAACCAGCTCTGGCCTAAAATTCCACTTCAAAACACAAGGTCGCATCATTAGGGCTCCCTCCAGCACTTCCCGGGAACTGGCAATTGCCTGACTCTCCTGGCGGCCAAGGTGAGAAAGGAGTCTAAGGCAGCTCTCAGGTTGCACTCTTACTAGCTCCAGACAGGGAGCTGCAAGCCTGCAGCATAGTTGCATCAGATGCCGACGCTAGATTCTTTCAGAGCGCCCTGTTTTGCCTGTTTTGTCTTAAGAGTCTCAAACAAAGAGAAGCACTGAGACAGGAGACTGCCCTGCTGAGCACCCACCCGTCCCGGAGCGGGAGAAGGCGGGGGAGGGATGCGGTAAAGACAACCAGGGTGGGTGGGGGGGATGTGGGAGGAGGTGAAAGAGCTGCCCTCCGCGCACGCGCAGACCCCGACCTGGGACTCGCCCGAGGCCCCGCGGGGTTTTTTTTCCGGGAGGGCGCAGTGCGCAGGCTCGGCGCGCATGCTCAGCGCTCAAGCCGTCTTACCTGCCACGGGGATCGGCTCGGCTCGGCCGGTCAAAGCTTCTTGCGTGCTGATGACCCTCGAAGCTGACTCGCCCATTCTCGGTACCGGGATGGGGCCAGAGAGTAGCTTGAGAGCCCTTCTGGCGACGGAGAGCATGGGCAGCGTATCCGTCCCGCCGGCCGACCTCCGGACTTGACCGTCTCTGAGGGGCAAAGTTTCCTGAGTACGAGAAGCGACTAGGGCCAAAAATTATTCTGGCTGGACGCCACCGCGGGGTATTAGTTAAAGTTCCTGCCGTTTCACCACGTCCGCCGCCCGTGTTCCTGGTGCCCAGGAAGAGCTTAGCCAAGCAGGGTTTCCAGTATGTTTCTCGTGCTCAGTCAACCACAAAGCAGAAAAGGGAAATCAGTGTGTGCATAAAATGGCAGAGAGCTAGAAGGCAGATTGTAAGAGGATGGATGGATAAACAGCTAGAAATTTTGTCTGTTTCTATTGGATCTATCTTGATCAGTAGAATTGATCCAAAGCACGATTCTCAACACCACAAAGGATTACGTACTCAATGTGAAATATATGTACATATATAAATATGCACATAAATATATAATTGATATATTATGTATATATGAGTGTATGTGTGTATAAATACATTCTTCAGCCCATAAAAAAAAGGATGCAGGCACAAATACTTTGTTAACGCGTTGATTTAATGATACAGTTGGATCCATCTTCTGAAATCAGAATATTCCTAGAACAAATCTCGCCTTAATCTTGAGGTCACTAGGGCCAGATGAGTGACTTGAGAGGTCCGTCTAGGAGATTTTGGTTTACACACTCTGCCAAAATGGGCGGACAGGCTCGTGTGAAGGAAGGAACAGGATTAGCACCCACAGGGATTTGGAGCTTTGAACCGAAGCTCTTCTGTGGGTTTAGTTACCACTTTGTGTTCATGTGGGGCTGTAATAGAAGGACAGGAGGATTAGCGTGCTGTATAGAATGTTGCCAGACATAACAACGTTAAACAGATTAAGGTGTTTACCTTATACTGTAGAAGTCCCCTGGGCCAACTTGTATCCACAGTTTGCTTTTGATTTGTTTTTGCCGTGAAATGATGCCAAGCGGGTTCTTTCTACAAGGCCTTGCCTGAAATCATCCCAAGGTGTCTCTTCCAGGCTTGAAGGGGGCCTAGTCACTAAAGACAAAATAGTCTGTCAAAGAAAATATGTTGTACTTCTGTTTTGCTGCCTTTTGATACGTACTGACTTGCTTTTTTCTGTTTTGTGGTTGATGGAACATGGAAACATACAAGAAATACTTCGTAGCCGGGCAGTGGTGGCGCACGCCTTTAATCCCAGCACTCAGGAGGCAGAGGCAGGCGGGCCGATCTCTGTGAGTTCGAGTTCGAGACCAGTCTGGTCTACAAGAGCCAGTTCCAGGACAGGCTCTAAAGCTACAGAGAAACCCTGTCTCAGAAAAACAAAGGAAAAAAAAAACTTCATAACTAAATACTGTGAATGTGTAATGGAAGAATTTGTAATGTTGCGGGAAACTACTTATGTAATGTTAGGTACACCAGAACCACAATCCATAAACATTTAGTATGCAAGATTTATAAAAATACAAGCATTACCCACTTAGGGAAAATGGGAAGAAATAAACAGAAGCAATGTTTAGAATTTTATTGTGTGGAGTAGTGAGATCCTATTAAAGTTTCTCTCCTGTTCTGTGGTCCTGGAAATCCAGCTGAGGTCATCGGGCTTGGTGGCAGGCACCTTGCCCTGCTGAGTCATGTCTCTGGCCCCAGTTTGAACAGTTTTGAGTGTTCTTTGTACAGTATTTAAATGTTCTTGAGGACCCTAGTGGTTATGCTACACTCATGAAAACTACCATCTTTTTGAAGGAAAGAAGTATCCCAGTTTCTTTAAAGTTTCCTTTAAACAATGGTTTCTTCCCTCATTTACTAAAATAGCTGTGATAGCTGAGTTGTTTGTTCATTACAAAGTCTCTCTTTATAGCCCTGGCTCGCATGGAATCCACAGAGATCCACCTGCTTTTGCTTCCCAAGTCCTAGGATTAAAGGTACGAGCCACCATACCCAGCCTCTGAGTTTTGTTTTTTGAGGAGAGAAATAATTATGCCATTTTGAAGACTAGGCCTTGCTTTCCCTCAGACTCTCCAACTACTTCCCTCTGAGCTACTCCCCCCCCCATATTTTCTAACACGTGCTGATTTATCGTTCCTGTAATTATACTCGGGCTTTCTGACAAAGTCTATCCTGTTCTAACACTTTATATCCTTCAAGACACTGTCTACACATTTTCTGTTGAGCAACAAAGAATCTGAAAACACAACCGGTTCAAGAAAACAGGTTATTTCTCTTCAGTGTGTCAGACTCCTGGGAGGAAACATGCTCCCTCTTCAGGGACCTTAGTCTATTCCCAGAACCCACATAAAGAGGCTGGGCACAGGAGCATAGCTTGCTGTTATTGAGGGTACAGTGAAACCACCAAACTGGACCACTCATGAGTAGAAAGAAAGGTTTATTGGTGATCAAACTAATCTTGGAGTGGGGGCAGAGAGACAAGCAAACTACCAGAAATGCAGGCAGATTTTATGTGCCAGGAGGGCGGATGTGGATACAGTTGTCCACACGTTGGCACCATTTGTTGTTGGAGGTTTTCCTGTCCTGTCTGGTTTTTTGTCTCCCACCAGGTCCCACAGCCGTTTAGCCCCAAAGAAATCACACAGAGGTCTATATTAATAATAAACTGATTGGCCCATTAGCCCAGGCTTCTTATTAACTCTTATAACTTATACTAACCCATTATTTTTATCTATGTTAGCCACATGGTTCGGTACCTTTTTTAGCGGGACAATCACATCTTTCTTCTTCTGTGAATGGGAAAGGACTGAGGAGAAATGGGTTTCCTCTTTCCCAGAATTTTCCTGTTCTCCTTGACCCGCCTATACTTCCTGCCTGGCTACTGGCCAATCAGCGTTTATTTGAAACATAATTGACAGAATATAGACAGTTGCACACCAGGCCGGGATCTTTGAGCTGACACAAATACAAACTGCCTAGATTACAGGAAACTAGGTAGCTGACTGTGGAGGGAGATTAAGGTTGGTTCCTGGTAAACAGAATCCTCCTTAGGAAACCTACTTTTACGATTGTTTGCCTGATAATGGTCCTTCTGTTTACCCTGCTAAAGTCCTATAGGACAGTATCCCCAGCACTGCCGTTCTGCACCTAAGGTTTGTAATCCCAGTACTGGAGAGGCAGAAAGGAGAGGCTTGCTACCCAGCCAACTTAGCCTAGTTGGTGAGCTCCAGGCCAGGAGTACCTACCTCAAAAATAAATAAGTACAAAAACAAGATGGATGGTGCTGTGGAATAATCCTCTTACACACTGTGAAGATTTGTCACTTGAATTGGTTTAATGAAAATGCTGATTGACTAGTAACCAGACAGGAAGCATAACCTGGACAACCAAACTAAGGAGGATGGGAAGGAGAAGGGCAGAGTTGGGAGTCGCCAGCTAGATGCAGAGGGAGAGGGAGACGAACGTGCCATGCTAATTAAGGTACCACCACATGGCAGAGTGTAAATAAGGAATATGGGTTAGCTTAAAATGTACAAGTTAGCTAGTAACAAGCCTGAGCTATCAGCCAATCATTTATAAGTAATATTAGCTCTCTGAGTCAATTATTTGGGAAGCCGCCACTAGGTATTTGTGAACAGGTGGAGGGAGAGAGATGCCCGTTTACAGGATGGTACACCTGAGGAATGGAGAAATGGCACCCAGTGTTGATGTCTGATCTCCAGAAACATGTATATACACACATGTGGGAAAAACAAGCATGATGGTACAAGCATGTAATGCCAGTCTTTGGGAGGTAAAGGCAAGAGGATTAAGAGTACGAGTCTAGCCTCAGCTATCCAGTGAGCACAAGGCCAGCCTGGGCTACATGAGCTCTGTATCCAAACCAGAAAACACCTAAAACCTTATAGAAGAAATCAACACTTGAAGCATGGATTAGAAAGTTGATTGTTATCTAAGTACTGACACGTGACTTCCCTAATGAACATACTTGTTTCCTGATCATGACTGTCAAACAGCATTTGGCTGTTTTACCTTAATTCGCATCTGTATTACTACGACTTAAGATTCTACTAGAGCCTTCCTTGGTTTATGAGTTTGCTCACTGTGTCCCACCATGGCCAAGCATCAGCAGGACCATGCACGTGGAAGACTCAGGCCTTCTGAAGAAAAAGAATGCCAATGACTCAGAGAGGATGCTCCAGAGCCAGCATGTACTCTCAGCAGGCGCTTGGCCATCACCCATACTCTCTACTGAGCTGCAAATACAGCAGAGGCACCCTGGCACACTCAAATAGATAAGGTTTCACTTACCTAGGTAGAGAGACACCCTTATAAATGAATAAATAAAAGGCTTAAGCGACATTTACATTTGCATACTTATAACCAAGTGGCTCTATATACGGCCTGCTTCCAGAAGATACAGAGCTGTCTGAGGAATTTAATTAATTGCATGGATTATTTTCCTGAATTTTTAAGAGGAAGGTGAAATAAGAATCGACTTCATTACTAAACAGGGAGCTCCGGTTAACGCCGCACGCTTTATTTTTAACCTTCGCTCCAACCCATTTTCAAAGTTTTGCAGGTGAAGAAACACAGGCTCAGAGAGGGGTCCAAACCAACAGCTACTAAGAGAGAGAACGTGGACTCAAATCTAAGCTTTTCAAAGTCCCGAGTTCAAGAACACAGCTTCACCATAAAAACAAACAAAAACAACAAAAAACCAAACCAAAACAAACAGAAAAACCAAGCTGGGTGGCCCTGACTCTCTTCAACATTGACTTTGAAATTTGTAGTCTTTATGGAATGCAGAATGGAATGATTTCGTTAAAAGGTCAAAGCCCCCCTTCAGGGTCCTTCCCAAGAGACCAGCATGTGTCCCCCACCCGCCATTATTTCACCTCATGTTTGAACACCAACAGAGCCACCAGGTTCAAACTGGGCCTGGTCTTCCAGGTGAGGATGGCTAGGTGTGACCCTGTGATGAAGTGACTCTTCCAGGAAGGGAGGTGCAGTTCTGTGCAGCTCCAAGGTCATGACCTTAGAAGCGAGCAGCACACTCCCCTTCTATCCTATCTCCTCTCCCAGTGACCGACGTGGAGCTGTGAGACTATGAGAACCAGAGATCAGCAACCAATAGGATCTTCTGTGCAGCCCTGCCTGTCCTGTACCAGGCTGGCCTTGAACTCAGAGATTCTGCCTGACTCCGCCTTCCAAAAGCTGGGATTAGAGGTATGCACCACCACTGCCAGGCTAAGAGATTTATTATTTTTATGTATGTGCGTGCACATGCACCTGTATGAGTTTATGTGTACCATGTGGGTGCTCATGTAGGCCAGAGGGATCAGATCTCATTACAGGCAGTTCTAAGCCACCTGATATGGGTGGTGGAAACCAAACTCAAGTCCTCTGAAAGGGCAGTAAGTGCTCTTGTCTCCAGGACTGGCTCTCCAGCCCCTAAATCACATGTTTTAGAGTCAGGCCTGGTGGCACACTCCTATAATCCCAGCTACCCTGGATATCAAGATTGGAGGATTATAAATTCTAGGCAAGTCTGGACTACAGAGTCCAAACTGAACAACTTCATGAGAACCTGTCCCAAAGGAAGGGGAAAGATAGCTTGGATATAACACAGTAGCGGAGAGCTTGCTGGCTTTCATGAAGGCCTAGGTTCACTCCCCAGTACTGCCGAAAGTAAATTAATAAATAAGCAATCACTTGGTGAGAACAGATGCATTAAGGAAGGTGATTGACAAGTGACCCTTTCTTTTGTCTCAGAGAGTTTGTCAGGATATAAAACTTAAGGGAAAATGGTGGGGAGGTGACTCAGTGTGTCAGCATAGGGAATTGTTTGATTGAGGGTTTTATTATTGTATTTTATTTGTTTTCTTTTGAAACAAGGACTCACTACATAGTCCTGGCTAACCTGGAATTCACAATAAACACCAGGCTTAAATAAGTTAAAATGGAAAAGTGCCTAGAATACGTACTCACATGTAGGTGTTAGAGTGTGACTGTAACGATATTTAATCATATAATCAGTAGAGATATATCTTCTCCACAGGACAGTAGGCTCTATGCAGGCAGGAATC